CAAAAAGGTTAAGAACCGCTGGCCTAGGTAATCTAGGGAGGTTTTATGGAATTCACATTTTACCCACCTCGGGAGGATGGAAGGCTGAGTCAACCTTGAGCCGGTGAGATTTGAACCGCCGAACTGCAACTGAGCAGTCAGCTGAAGTGGCTGCAGTACTGCACTCTAACCACTGTGCCACCTCAGCTCAAACAAGTGGATGGGACACTAATCGTCAGGGCACATTCCACATTAGTCACCGAGCTCGTCAGACTGGAAATGGGTCATCACCGAGAACTCATCCGGTTTGTCATAGCTCCAAACATGACTGTATCAATTATACTAGGTCCGTGATGGCAAACCTATGGCACACATGCCACAGGTGGCACACGGAGCCATTTTTGATGGCACATGAGGCGTTGCCCTGCCAGCTCCAGCACGCATGCACGTGCTGGCAAGCTGATATTTGGCCTTGATTTTCAGCCATTTTTCACCCTCCAGAGGCTTCCCTGAAGCCTCCAGAGGGCAAAAAACTGCCCAACGTGCAAACTGGAAGTTCAGGAACAGACTTCCGGTTTGCACATTGGACTAATTTTCATGCTCCGGAGGCTTCAGTAAAGCCTCCTGAAGCCTCCGGAGGGAGAAAAATGACCCAACAGTCTTGCACGACTACACAAATAAGGACCAATCAACACCTGGAAAGATGGCTATAGAAAAATAAACAAGGAGCCCCAGCAGTGTTCATGCAGCTAATCAATGAGGTACTACATGAGCACCTAAACAAACGGGTCCTCATTTACCTGGCTGACATTCTCATATTCAGTGAAACCCTTGATTAACACGTAAAGCTAGTGTGGCAAGTGCTGAAAAAACTCCTCGCTGCAAAACTCTACGCAAAGCTGTCAAAATGTGAATTCCATAAAACCTCCCTAGATTACCTAGGCCAGCGGTTCTTAACCTTTTTGAAAGAACTGCCCCCTTGAGCCATTGAGGAAGTTATCATCGCCCCCCCTCCCCCAACATAACCTCTCAATCACAANGTCTAAGGGATAACTGAGCATCGTCGGGACTCTTAGCACCCAACATACACGAGACCAGAGATTGGGGGTGGGGGGAACAGGGTGTTCTTCAGAGAATGTCCTAATGAATGAAAGCTGCTGAGGAATACACAGACTGAAATAGGACAGAAAATAGAGAGCCTGGCAGATGGAAATTGTTTGTCCTCTCCTGGTCCTCGCTTAACCCCTATGAATTATTAGCTGGGCTTTTCAACCAACTCCTCTTATTTTATTTATTTTAGGCTAATTTCACCCCGCTTTTCTTCTCAAAATAACTTTGCGGGGCGGGGGGGGGAACAGAGGCCTTGTTTGTCTCCTGAAGCGGGAGAGAGAGGCTCGGTGGCACGGAGATGCCCCAATTTCGTCTCTCGGTTCCCATTCCTTTCATCGCCAGGCGGTGATGCACCCATCGGTCATCGGACTCAGGAGAGCTGCCAAGCAAACCTCCCTGGCTGCAATGCCCAGGTGTGCCCAACTGTCTATTAAAAGAAGAGAGACCTGGCTTTGATGTGCAACTGGGTGGGGCATGGTGATCTCACCTTCCCTTGCCAACTTTTGAAGGCCAAAGGTAACAACGCAGTCGCTTCCGGCAGTTAATGGCAGAGCCGGCTCGGAGAATCTGGCTGGCAGGGCAAGGAGGAAATGCCCATGATGGGTAAACAAATGTGCAATGCCAGCTCCTCTTTTATTCTCCACCCGTACAAGGGAACACCCAGCCTCGGGCAGAGGCCAATTTTGATAATGTCGGGTTAAACAGCAGGGAGGAGCACTCAGCCGGGTGTGGCATAAAGGCGGCCTGTTTTAAATCACCCTCTAATCCAGGGCTCCCCCACCTATCTGGAACGGAGGCCTCATGAGGGATGCTGCAAAGGACATTAAGTGTGAAAAACTGGTCGTAGGTCCCTTTCTCCAGTCCTGTTGCAACTTTGGTCATTAAACCAGGCATCAGCAACTTGCAGCTCCGGATCCGCATGCGGCCCTTTTATCCCTCTGCTGCAGCTTCCTGTCACTAGTTGGCGCCATAGTTTTGAGAAGAACTTCTGGTTGTGGGAGGGGGGAGAATCACAGCACGCCAGGAAGAGACTCTATGGCAAAGGGTGGGTTTTTCTGATGGGCTCCACAATTGAATGGGGGGGCTTCCAGTTAGGACTGTGGCTCTTTGGGGGTTTTAAGGTTGCTGACCCCTGCACTAAACAAACGGCCATATGTTGAGGACTATGTGTCATGGGCCTCCACTTCCCAAGAAGGAAACAATAACAACACGGCTGCAGCCAGCCCCCTTTGATTGAACTCCGTCCTTCCCCAACTGGGTGCCTCCCCCCCAATTCTCACCTCCATTAGGTCAGAATTCCTCAACCTTTCCAGGTTAGTGACCCAAAGGCAGGGGAGGGGGGAAAGGGGGGATGGTTTTGTGTGAGGGGCAGGCACATACGAGTGGGGCCCTGACAACCCGAGATGGTCATGGTGACGCAGGAGTGGGCCTGTGAGTGTGTGTATGGGCGCACATACTGCCAACTACCCACACAACCCGGTGGCCAATAGGTGTGGTGGCCCACCAGTGGAGCTGGCAGCAGAGTCGGACAGTGAGGAGGTTGGGGAGAAATATGGCCCAGTCCTGGAGTCTGGGGAAGGCTCTGATGAGGGCTCTGTGTTGGAGGCAGAGAGAGGGCCAGGGCTGTATGCCAGTTATCAGCTGCCTTCAGAGTCAGTGAATCNAAAAAAGCCACGTCCGCCTCCGCTTTCGCCTCGCTCACCTGCTCCGCTGTTCACCGGCGCGTCCTCCTCTTCCTCTTCCTCCTTCTTCTCCTCTGCCGGCGAGGGAGGAGGCCCATCAGTCGGGGGGCCGGGGGCGTCCCCTTGAGAGGCCGGCGGGGGCGAGGCAGAAGGGGCCGCCGGGGACGTCCAGGTGAGCGTCGGGGCCGGGCCGGGCGAGCTGTCAGTGGCCCGCGCGGGCGAGGCTCGCGGAGGCTCCCGGCTGGCGTTGGGCGTCCAGGCTGACAGGTCGTTCTCTCCGCTGCCTTCGGCCCGCCGGGGCCCGGGAGCCGCGGGGGAAGCCGGCTGCAGGGCGCCCGCCGAGCCCAGCACCAGCACCAGCAGCACCACGGCCAGCATCATAGCGCGGCCGCCGCCCGGCCATCCAGCCGGGGTGGGGACCCCCGAATCCGGCCGAGGCAGCTGTGGGGAGGGTCTTTCTCCGGCTGGCTCAGCGGCGGGCAGGGGCGAGGAGGCAGCCGGCTTGCGGGCAAGAGGCCAGCCGGGACCACCATGGCATCTTCTCCTCCCTCCTTTGGCAGAAGCGCGCGACCCTTCCCCTCGATTTCCACTACCCCCCGTCGCCCGGCCGCCCCCTTCCCCAATTTGCTAACAATGGGGCTCGAGCGGGCCGCCTCTCTCCCTCTCCCCGCCTCGCCCAGCCAGGCAGCGCCGAGGAAGCGAGAGAAAGGAGCAGGGGGGGAAAGGAGGAGTGCGAGAGAGCGAGAGAGAGGGAGAGAGAGAGAGAAAGGAGGGAGGGCAAACGGGCTGGCGAGGCAGCCAATGGGGAGGCGGCTGGGCCACGTGAGCGGCCCGACTGGGCTCCTCGGGGGGGCCCGGCCGGCCAATGGGCACAAGCGCTGCCAGGGTTGGAAGACCCGCCTCTCCCCGGATCCCCGACAGCTGGAAGGCGAGGGAGGGGCTGCCGCGTTTCCCCAGCGACCAGGAGATGCTCGGCTCGGCGGCGGCGGCCGCAGCAGCGAACAAANCATTAAACTAGACATACCCAGTTCCTGTAATTGTTCTCCATATGTTTTAGTTTCCAGTCCCCTAATAATCTTTGTTGCTCTTCTCTGCATATTCCCTACACATTCCAAATGCTAGTCTTCCTCTGAATTATGGATATTTCAGAAATGCAGCTAGATACATTATTTAGTCAAATGCCGAAAAACAATCTGATTTTCTTTGCTTGCTTGGCTGGTTCTAGTTCTGAAAATGTGGAATGTTCATTTTGTAATTGTGCAGAATCTTACTTGACATGCTTTGTTGCCCATTAAAGCAATAGATAGATAATTTTTTTTTTGCTAAATGTAGAAATGATTCTTCTGCTAAGTAAAAACTCACGAATCAAACGTTCAAAGACCACACCTAATTAACCCCCAGGGAGTGGCTATATTGAAGAAGTTGAAGATGTGCCTCTTTACAGTATCATTTCTGTTGACATCCCAGACTGAATTTGGGGAAATTGTACTGCCCCTTTTCAACAATCTTGGTCAGAGAAGCCTCAGAGGGACACAGAAGTGAGACTTATACCACAACCTACTGCTGCAATCAAACAATATCCTTTGAAACTGTCATGCCCCATATTGCCACAAGAGGGTAGTGTGGATATGCTAGAGTGTCTTAAAATTCATTCGTTCTCCCCCCCCCCCTCCCTAAAAAGCAACTACTAATTTCACCTTTATTAGATTTTGTTTGGGGGTATGGAGGGTGTTCATGTATCCCTGCACGTGAATATAATATAGGATGGGGTTTTTTCTCCTTGTACAAGGAAACATAGATTTCTGATTTGTTTTTGGTTTCCACCCCCACCTCCCGAGTCCTAAGTATTATTACTGTTGTTATAATGCAAATTAAACAAGGCTTTTAAAACGAAACTGGACAGCCAGTTGTCTGGAATGCTTTAGGCCGTGATGGCAAACCTATGCAGTGGTGAAATTCATTTTTTTTTTTACTACAGGTTCTGTGGGCGTGGCTTGGTGGGCTTGGCAGGAGAAGGATACTGCAAAATCCCCATTCCCACCGCACTCTGGGGCCAGCCAGAGATGGTATTGGCCAGTTCTTCAAACTACTTGAAAGTTCTGCTACTGGTTCTCCAGAACCTGCTGAATTTCACCCCTAAACCTATCGCATGTGTGCCAGAGGCCGAACATACCTTTGTGAGCACTTGAGTCATCGCCCCAGTTCAGCTCTGCTGTACATGCATGCATGCCTCCTGCCATCCAGCTAGTCTTCAGGTCTTTGCTGTGCATCCACGGGGGTGGGACGCATGCAGGGGCTCTTGTGCATGCATACAAGGGGGACCACATGGACAGGGGGCTGGGCGTATATGATAGCTGCGCTCCACTGCTAGAACCTCCAAACAAGCCTCAACATCCAAGACTAGCTGGGCAATATTGGTGTCAATGGGTCAAGCTATTTCATAA